GTAGAGTCGAGCTTGCAGATGGACCAGAAGCGATCAGAATGTCAGAGACTGAGCGATGAGATTGAGAGACTCAAGGTGCCTCCCCTCCCCTCCTCCTCCTCCTTCCCTCCCTTTCCTTCCCTTTCCTTCCCTTTCCTTCGCTTTCCCTCCCCTCCCCTCCTCCTCCCCTCCCCTCCTCTCCCCTCCCCTCCTCTCCCCTCCTCTCCTCTCCTCCCCTCTCCTCTTCTCCTCAACATCCTTCCTCGTAGCCGCTCCCTTACTTCTTCTCGCCTGCTCCTCCTTGTTTCTCTCTCACTTTCTCTTCCCCTCCTCACTTGCCCATGACCCATTACCGTCAGGAGCTCAACGAGATTGTGCTGAGGGAGAAGCAGGAGGAGGAAAGGAAACTTTACTCCCTCCAGGCTGACCTCGACATCTCTCTCAAACGAAGCCGAGCCCTCGAGCAGGTGCCTTGCCACACGCTCCCTCCCCCACCCGCTCCACGTCTCCTTCCTCCTCCTCCTCCTCCTCCTCCTCTCTCGCCCCCTGTTCACTGATCCACGGTTCCCTCCTCTTCTCCCTGGTCGTCACTCCAGATCTCCCTTCTCTTCCTCCTCCCTTGTTGTTCATCGTCTCAACTCCTCCTCTCCACCTTCCTCCTCCACCTCCTGTTGCTTCTTCTTCGTCTTCCTCGTCCTCCGTCTCCTTCCCCTCCTCCCCCTTCCTCCTGCTCAAACTGCCGCAGGACATCAACTCGTTGAAGCACGAGAAGGATGTGTTGGCTCGGCAGCTCTCGACTCTCTCTCAGACTTCTTTGTAATTTAATTGCGAATGTCTTTTCAATATACATGATGAAACAATAAATTCATTCCTCCTCGTCCTCGTCCTCCCTCGTCCTCCCCCCTCCTCCCTCCTCCCTCCTCCTCCCTTCTCCTCCTTTCTTCTCCTCCATTTCTTTGTCCTGATTCCTACTCCTCTTCTTTCCTCATTCCTCCCTTCCTGCTTCCTGTTCTTCTCGTGGCTCCTCTCGTCGCTCCTCTTCTTCTCCTTGATCCCCCATCTCCTCTCGCCCCGCATTCACCGTCGCCCGTTCCCGCAGCTCCTCCTTCACGCTGCTCAGCTCAACCTCCAGCTGCTGCCTCTTCCTCCTCTCCTCCTCCAGCTCCTTCTCAAGGCGCTTCATCCTCTTTATCGAGGTACCTGCTCTCTGCATGCTGCTGTTGCAGGCCCCATACAGGAAGACGAGGATGAGAGCGAGGATGAGAGCGAAGAAGGGATAGTTGAGCAGCAGCTCCAGCAGGTGCCAGAGGAGCTGCACGACTATGTCCCAGAAGTAGTACAAGAGGAAGAGGAAGGAGGCGAGGAAGGCAGCGGAAGCCAGCAGCGAGCTCGCGCTCCACATGATCCACTTGAGGAGGAGGAAGGAAGAAATCGACCAAGACAGCAGGAGGAAGGCTGAAACCCCCACGACGATCTTCAGCAACTGGTGGGATTTCTTCAGCTCCTCCTGCAGTTCCCCGATGACTTTCTCTTGCCTCTTCATCTTCTCCTGCGCTGTCTGCAGCTCCATCCTCAGCCTCGACAGCCTCGCCTGCTCTGCCCGCATCGCCTCCTTCATCTCCTCCCTCTGCTTCCTCCACGTCTGTGTCAGACTCTCCAGCCTCGCCTCCGCCAGGATCTCCTTCCCCTGCGCCGAGACTTCCTGTATCTCCTCCATCCTTGCATAGACCTTGGTGGCCTCCTCCTACCACCAGAGTCAGTCATAGCGAGGAGGAGGAGGAGAAGGAGTGGGAGTAGGAGTGGGAGTGGTGGTGGGAGGAGGAGGATTGGTAGTAGTGGTAGTGGTAGTGGTAGTGGTAGTGGTACTGGTAGTAGTAGTAGTAGTAGGAGGAGGAGGAGGAGTAGGAGTAGGAGTAGGAGTAGGAGTAGTAGTAGGAGGAGTAGGAGGAGTAGTAGGAGGAGGAGGAGGATCGACCTTTTGTAGCTGCATGCTGTACTGCAGCTCGGCCTCTCGCAGCTTTATCCTCCTCTCCATCTCCTCCACCCGCCCCTGGACCTGCTCACTTGTCTCCTGCACCTGCTCGCTGGCCACTTCCACGTCCTTCACCCTCACAATCTTCCGTGCTCGCATCCCCTCCTGCTCCGTCGTCTGACCTGAGCCAACTACCGGCGACCCCTCGATCTGCTGCTCCTCCTTCTCCACTTCGGCTCCTTCCCCTCCGCTTCCTCCTCCTGCCGTGGCAGGTAGGGAGGCAGATGAGCTGCATGCGGCAGGAGAGGAGGCGGGAGGAGGAGCGAGGAAGCTGAAGTTCAGCTCAGCAAGGGTCGAGGAGACGTTGGGGACGGGCAGGACGGTCAGTCTCTCCCTGGAGGCCGTCAGCAGGGCTCCGAACCTGCGGCAGCTGGACCTGAGCTGGGAGATAGCAGGAGGTGGTCAGTGCTCACCCGGGCTGGAGGACCTGGCGGTGCCATGCCTCCCGGAGGTCGTCGTGGATCGAGTCGATGGCGTTGAGGAGGGGGCGGAACCCCTCGTCCCCGTTCCTCCCCCCATACCTGGAGGCCAGCAAGTCGACAGCGCTCGAGTCCCAGCCCACCAGCATCCTCCTCGAGCTGCCAGCAACAGCCCACCTGAGCTGGGAACGAACTGGAGGGGCACAAAGACTCACCTGGGGTGAACCTCCAGCAGGTAGAAGGAGAAGATCCGCTCGAACAGAGCCATCTCGACCACCCTCCTTTTCTCCTTGTTCGAGTACGGGTAGAAGGGGATCCAGGCGTCCACCCTCCCTCGGAATTCAGCTCGTCCGAAGGGGTTCGACATGCTGCTCGTCTCACGCAGCAGGTTCGTGAACTGCTCGTCGATGTCCTGCACAAGCCCCTGCTCCTCCCCGTGCGACTCGAGCTCCATCAGCTCCCGCGCTCGCTCGAGGATGATCTTGGCTCCCATGTTGGTGTTGATCAGGAACGTCGCTCGGTTCGTGGGCACGTACTGGTCCAGCTTCGTGTCCTTCAGCGCCCCGCTGGCGTCGAAAGCACTCAGCAGCACGTCCGGTATCGCTTCTGCATGCGCCTTCTCGAACTCGTCGAAGAGCACGACAGCGTCCGGATGCCGCAGCAGCGCACCAGTCAGCTGCCCCATCCCCTCGATGCCGACGGGGGGGCCGACGAGGTTGGCGGCGCTGTTCTCGTCCTTGTACTGGCCCATTGGGATCTGGACGAACTTTTTCTCTCTCAGGAGCTTCGCTGCCGACTCGTTGTGGAGGATGGAAGCAAGCTGCTTCGCCAGCTCTGTCTTGCCCGTGCCCGACGGTCCCCAGAAGACCAGGACAAGGGGCTTGTCTCTCCTGCCCCATCCCTCCAACCTGCAAGGGGCATGAAAGGAGGGAGAAGAAGGGGAGGGAAGAGGAGAGGGGGGTGGAGGAGAGGAGGAGGGGAGGAGACGGGAAAGGAGGAGAGGGGGGAGGAGAGAGAAGGAAAGAGGAGATTCAGTTTGAAGGGAGAAGGACCTGTTGCGCAGCCTGTTGGTGGATCGGCGGATGGCAAGATCTTGTCCGATGAAGGTGCGCGAGAGAGTTTGGAGGGAGAAGGAGTCTCGCGTCGACGATTCCTTCCTCTCCTTCCAACCCCGCAGACACTGCGCTAGAATCTTCCGCCGCTTCTCCATGGCATCATGACGGTCATCGGAGAGCGCAGGCGGAGACTGTGTGAGGGTCAGGAGCTTTGACTTCTGCTTCAGCAGAGGAGGAGAAAACTTGCACAGTCCTCCTTCTCTCCTTGAGAGCACACGAACGGGAGAAAGGAGCGAAAGCCTTTCTGCCAGATCACTGACTTGGTGTTGGTCTTGTAGAGGGAGGAGAGTGCGTCTGTGTCAAGGAGCTTCCTCTTGACCAGCTTCACCACCTCCTGGCTCTGCAAGCTCCTGCTGCTCTCGTCCTTGCACGACATCTCGTCCGCTTCCATGTCGGTGATGATAACAAACATCCAGTTCACCAGGTCGACTCCTTGCTTCGAGCATGGCGACTTGGTCCTGTCGAAGATCCTGACGAGCAGCTTCTCAAGGCTGAGCAGAGTCTCATCCCAGATCCCGTCGATCACGACGACCCGCTCACTGCATGGAGACCTGCAGATCCACTCCATCGCTCCCTCCTTCATCATCGATAGCGCCATCACTTGATTGCAGTCTTTCTCCTCGCTCTTGATCCCCTGCGCAAGCTCCGACGCCACCGCTCTCGCCATGCACGCCTTCTCGTTGGTCTTTGCGCCTCCGAAGTGGAGGAGAGTAGGCTCCAGCCGCCTCCTCTTCCCTCGCAAGATGTTCATCATGTCTGAGATGCCGTTCAAAGCCAGCGGCTGGCTCTCCCCGTACTTGATCCTCAACCATCCCAGAAAGTCTCCAGCAACGAGGAGAGAGCTTCCTGCTGCATGCGAAGACGTTGCTGGTCCTGCCCCTGACGCGCCTCCTGCCGTCCACGAGTCGCTCGTCCCCCCCGAACAAGTCCGACCCTCGCACTGCTCTGCCTTGGACGAATCGATGGAGGAAGCATGTCGGAGGGAGGACGTCGAGCCTGAGAAATGTTTCGAAGTCGGCTGAAGGAGTTGATCTGCTGACGAGGATGAGGACGAAGACGGAGACACGGCCATGGCAGGTTCTGTTGAAGATTGATCGCCATGCGAGGGCGACGATACGGATGGCGAAGATGATGAGGAAGGGGACCATGCTGAAGGGGAAGGAGATGAAGTAGGGGTGAAGGAGGGAGAAGTAGAGGAGGTAGAGGAGGGATGAGGGGAGGGGCTTATGGGAGGGGGCAGGAGGAGGAGGAGGAGAGTGAACAGCAGTACCATCGCCGCCATTGCAGGCGGGCACAACTTGCTAAGAACACCTGGGGACGGGTTGATATAATATTTACCAGGTAGGGGTACTTAAAATACCGGTGCTAAAATGAATCATTCCTCTTCGGAAGTGGGGTGGTACATTTTCTCAATATGCTGGGGTGGTGTTGCGAAGGGGGTGGGGGTATGCAGATTGAAAATGCATTCCAAATAGACACTGACCCGACTGAGAAGCGATGAGAGGAGAGGGAGGAGGGGGAGGAAGAGAGGGAGGAGGGGGAAGAGGATAGGAAGAGGAGGGAGGGAGGGAGGGAGACAGAAGAGACAACAGAGGAAGAAGAGAGGAGGGAGGGAGGAGGGAGGAGGGAGGGGAGAGAGGGGGATATCTTTGTTTTCAGGAGTCCCTGCTCCCTGGCTTGGCATGGGCAATTACGCTTCATGCTGTAGAATATCTCAAGAGCAGGGAGACGAGCGTCCTCCGCCATGGCTGGTAGAAGGACAGAAGGCACCTCTGATATCCGACGCTATGAACGAGGACTACAAGAAGGCTGTCAGCCCTACCAGAGAGCATGCGATAGAAAAGTTCTTCCATGATGCTCTTCTCCAAGGCAAACCCGACGAGGACGAGCGCGAGTTGCCATACTTGCATGTGGCGGACGAGGGCGAGGAGGAAGCGGTGAGTGACGACAGGAGCAGAGACGAAACCTTCGACAAGTTCCTTGACTCCATCCTCGACCGATGCTTCCTGATCTGCAGAGAGGACGAGGTGCTTCTGTGCGTGCGGGTCGTCTCCTGCTAACGAGCAGGTGCAGTGGCTCAGGTGGAAGGCATCGGGGAAGGTAGGAAGGAGGAGCAGCCTCCTAGTCCCGCCATCGAGGCTCGTTGCTCTCCTCCGCCTCCCAGACCTGGATCGCTCCCGGAACGAGACGGCAGTCGTCCTTGACCTCGACCTGCAGCCGGATATGTTCACCATCTCCGATCGCAACGTCCTGCTGGTGGCGCCGTTAAGTCTCCACCTCGTCCGCGTCGTCTACAAGCTCAACGATGTCGCCGACATGCTTCAGGGAGAGAGGAGGGTGAGGAGGTTGACTAGGGAGCCCCTGGCGTCTTCTGCAAGCACTCATAGGGGAGAGGAGGACACAGTGGAGGAGGAGCGTCCAGCTCGGCAGGAGCTGGAGCTGGTGATGAATGAGTACTCGTGGATCCTTGACGACTTCGAGCGGAAGAGGTTCGGAAGGAGCGGAGGGATGGAACGGAAGAGATTCGATCCTCAGTCACTCAGCCGACCCGTGCGGGATTTCTCAGCTTCGAGGTGAGGTTGACAAGTTTGACAAGTTTGACACTCGTTCATGTTCTCACATGCTCTTCAGGGGTACTTCTAATCCAACGTTCCCAGAAGTCGTCAGGACCAGGAGGTAGCCCAGCTGATAGCCGAGCTGGGACCCTCTCAATCCTTTAAACCTCCGGGTTCCCTGTTAACTCTCCTCCCGATCTCTCTGCGTCCTCCTCTACTTCTTCAGCTTCTTGTCCAGCTTGTCCATCAGGTGGGCGTTAACGGCCTGCAGCTGAGTGTTGACGTCAATCAGCTTCTTGTTCTCCTCTTTGAGCTGCCGGCACTCGTCCGCCAGCTCAACCTTCTCCTCCTCCAGCTCGTTGAGGACGCTGTCAAGGTTGGCAAGCTGACGGTTCAGAGTCTCTGACAGTTGTCGACTCTCGTTGAGCTTTGTGGCGAGACTGGACAAGTCCCGCACCTCCTGCTCCAGGGCAGCTGCCCTCTCCTCCGCCTCTTCCACCGCTCCCTGTAAGTCTTCACAGCGAAGGCAGTGCAGTTCCTTCCAGGCTGTCGTCGGAGACATCTCCACCTCCTCCCCATCCTCGTTCGTCACTCGGTCCATGATCCGCCCCACGTCCTTCTTGACAGACTCCAGCTCCCCTGTCAGCACCTCCACGCCTCGTGCGACCTTGGAGCGTAACTTGGCTTCTCCCAGGAGGGGCCCAGCAGTTCCTGCCTTCTCCACCCAGCGGCGATTCGTCCACTCGATCCGGCAGTCTTCGATTATTCCTTCCATGCGCAGACATTCTTTCTGGACATGGATCAGCTCGCCGAGCAGAAAGTCGATGTCGACATTGTCCTCCTCCATAATCGCCAGGATCCGAAGCTTCTGAAGCTGCAGAACTTCTTCCAGGTCTTCCAAGGCAGAGGAGATCACCCCGGGCAAGAGCGGGCCAACGGCCGACTGGCTCTCGATGGCCCGGCCTGCAGCCCCCCCCCTCGTCAAGAGTTCAGCAGCCGCGAGCAGACCTCCTGCCTCTTCCGCGATATCCTTGAGGATTTCTTGTATCGCAGGAACCAGCGAGAAAGCTCTCTGGATTGAGAAGATTCTCTGCTGCAAGTCAGCTTCGGGGACAGCCTTGCCTGACACAGAGGCTCCCCTGTCAAAGGCTTCAACACCACCTTCACCTCCTTCCGCAGGTCGGGACACTTGCTCGTCATGGTCCGCCATATCCGCCATCATCGAGTCCAGCATGTTGTCCACCTGCAGCCTCGAGTCGCTCAGGCTCTCCTGCCTCTTCACCTGCGTCACATCCCGCGAGAGGTTCAAATTTTCTGCTTCGCGGGATGGAGGGAGAGGGGGTCCCCCGAAGGCGAGCGAGGGGGGCTTGTTTGGACTCGCCTCTTGGTATATTTGAGCCTTGACTAGAGTTTCCCTGCTGTTCATGATGATCTCCGAGACTTCTGCCGTCACCGACTGCAATTCTCTCCTCACAAGATCCATGCTCGTGCGCAGGTGCGGGGACTTGAAGAAGTCTCTGCAGGCAGTAGCAAGGGGAAGATCTCTAGAAAGAGCGTCGTACTCGACACTCTCGTCTCCATTCCCTGCCAACACCTCTAGGATCCTGTACTTGTTGTTCTCATTGTGCAGGAGAAGGTTTCCAAAGCGGACATGAAAGTCCTTTACAATCTCCTTGCATTCAGCGATGATGTACTCCCTCTCGCGTGGAGTGTGATAGACTTGATGATTGTTGTATTCGAGGACAAAGCGCTCGTTGAGTAGCTCGAAAGCATCGCTTGCTTGCTTCAGCACACGGTCATGACGTTGAAACAGCAGCTGAATCTGCAGCTCCTTCGTCGTCAGCATCTTTATCAGGCGATAGCAGACTGTCTTCATCTCTTCCTCCCTGCCATCACTTGACTTGCTCTCCTTCATCCACCAGCTGATCCGTCGCTCCCAAGAGAGCGTGCTGATCTCATTTTTCAACCTCTCACACTCCCTCTTCCAGTAGACCAGCTCGTCAAACGCCACTCGCTCACTTCGGAGGCGCGACATGCTCTGTGCTGCAAGTTCAGCTGCAGCAACTGCTGCTCCCGCTTTCTCCAGGTCGTCACGGTTCTCTCTCAGCAGATCTCCCAGCTCCTCTGACTTCCTGTTGAGATATTGCCTGCAAGTCTTCAGTTCCTCCTCCAGCGTTTTCTTCCCTTGTAGAGCTTTCTGCAATTCAACGTTCAAGTTATCTAGATCTTCCTGCAGCTGCTGGATCTTATCCACATACACGAGCTCTGGCACCACCACGTCTGCTATGAGCTCTTCTTGCTTCTCTTGAACCTGCTCAGTTGTTTGTCCTTTTTCCTGCTCTTGGGCCTGCTCTGATGTATGCTGTTCTTTCTCTACACGAAAGTGCTCGATTGTTTGAACTGCTTTGTTCACGTGAACATGTTCTTTGTCTTTCTTCACTGGAACCTGTTCTGTTTTGAGCTCATCATACTTCCTGTCGACTACTTCTTCTGTAATGTGTTCTTGTTTCTTGACGTCGTCCTCTTCTTCTCCACCTTCCTCTGGACTTGCAGCTCTGACCCCATCAGCCCTGCGTCTGATCTGCAATCCTTCAGCCCCTTTCATCTCTTCCTTCACGAGCTGATCCATTTCATCTTTGACCCGCTGCAAGTCTGCATAGAGGGCCACAATCTCCAGCTCAATCTTCACCTTGTCAATCTGACGACGCTGCCCGTCATTCGGTTCCCTGTAGCGCCAGGAAGCGAAAGCTCTACCCAACAAGCTCGCTCTCCCCCGCTCCTCCCTGCGCATGACGGCCAGTGACATTGACTTTGACCGGGCAGCATGAAAAGACCATATAGCAAGCGCCCTTCTCTTCAAGTTCATCCTCGACCTCCTTGACAGCAGTGACGCCACTTTCTTGACCTGCTCAGGTACCAGGACACTATGGCGCCAGGAGGCGAAGGCGTTAGACTTGTCGACACGGTCCCATCGCTGATTGATCAGGAGCTTGACAGCATGCTTGTACTTCGCCAACTTCTTTCCTTGCTCGTCCAGAGCCTCTTGAAAGTGAACAAGGGAAGTATCCAGTGTGCCGCAGAAGGTCGAGTCACCATCCTTGTTCACTCTTCTGATCAGCTCGTTGTCTTCCTCGATGATCGCTCTTGCAACCTCTCGGTATGAGCTGATCTTGTCCTCGAACCCTCTCCCCAAGGAGGCAAGGGAGCTCTGGGCTCGTCCTACCATGGGCGATCCTCTCTCATGCAGGACCCTCCTGACAGCCGAGGATCTCCTGATCGCATCCTCTGCCGCCCGGTGCAGCCGTTGCGTGCTCATCTCAATGACGCCTTGCAGGGCATGTCTTGTGTGATTGGAGAAGATGGAGGAAACTTGTCCTCTGCCTCCTCCCCACTCCCACTACGATCTCCCTCCTCCTCCTCCTCCTCCTCCTCCTCCTCCTCCTCCTCCTCCTCCTCCTCCCTCTTCTTCTCTCGCCTCTTCTTCCCCCTCCTCGCTATCAACTCAGTTCCTCATTTCCATCTCCCGCCATTTCTCCTTGAAGCCCTTCCATCACACGGCTCACCCCCACCTCTGCTACGAGTACCCCACCCCAATTTCAACCATAGTTATTCGGATAGATCAGAAATGTCACCATCCAATGGAGTACCCCTACCCCTACTCATGTCGACCCTACCCCCATCACAATTCCCGCCCGGTCGCAGCATATGGCAGGTTCAAGAGCAGGAGGCAAGGGAAGGGAAGGAGGGAAGAAGTGAGGAGGAGGAGGAGGAGGAGGAGGAGGAGGAGGAGAAGTAGGAGGAGGAGGAAGAGGAGGAGGAGGAGGAGTCAAGAAACAACAGAAGAGAGAAAGAAGGAATAATGAGCTTCTCAGTTGATACAGAGGAACTTCGTCGAATTTTGAGGCAGGATAGGCAGTTGAGATCAAAACGACCAGCAGCGACCAAGGAGGGTGAGAATGCAAGAGCAAGTGTCTCCTCTGTGACTCTTGTCAGCTACGATGAGTTCATCAAATCACGAACGACAGCGTTTCAGCACAGCAACAGCAACAGCGATAGTAAAAGCAACAGCAACAGCAACAGCAACAGCAACAGCAACAGCAACAGCAACAGCAACAGCAACAGCAACCATCTGAAGGGGGTGAATCACAACGATTCTGCATCGCATTTATCCCTCAAGGCGAGACAAGAGGAGCAAGTCAACGGAAGTGCAGGAAAGACTTTCAAGCAAAGTTTCTTAGAGACAGGGAGCAAGTTGACTGCGGGGACGTACCGAGTCACGGAGAGGGAAGAGGCAAAGGATCCAGAAGCAGCAGGGAAGTCGAGCGTAGGCAAGAGAGAGCACGGAGGTTCTGCGAGAGCCGCCAAGCAAGTTCTCCAGGTGTTTCAAAGTTTCTTGCCTAAGAGTGAGGATGAGGAGGATGAGGAGGAGAAGAAAGGCGAGAAGGATCTTTGGCGTGGTCGTTCCTATCCGCAGCAGCAGTACCAGCAGTGGAAGAAGGAGGAGGCAGAGGAGGTCAAGGAGGAGGAGGTCAACGGGAAGGTCAAGGAGGAGGAGGTCAACGGGAAGGACAAGGAGGAGCAGGAAGACTTCATTCCTCCTCCGCTCTCTCATGCTCGCAACTGGAACCTCAGCCCTATAGAGCGTCGGTCTCGCAGCCCCGACATGACCGCCTACAATCCTTCCTCCCGCCTCACCACCCATCGATTCTCCAGCCCTCCAGGCGTCGACGACGAGGGCAACGACCGTCACAATGGCCGCGCAAGCAGCAGAGGGCTGGCAGGACGCGGACGATCGACGCTCGCCGCTGCTCTTCGCGGCTGCCTCGTGCGTCGACGGATGAGACTTCCGGCAGCAAAGCAGATCATGGAGAAGATCCGAGAGGCAAACAGGCTGCACCTGGAGATGCAGGAGGAGATGGAGGCAGGGAGCGCCAACGAGGTCGAAGTTCAGATCCTGAGGCAGCTGGAAGGGACGAGGATCGCTGCTGTCGACGAGCTCTCCCACTTCCTGCTTCACCCAGACGTCGCTGCGGCCCTCAGCAAGCCTACCAACATGAGGAAGGACAAGTCCTTTCTCCGCAAGGGGCAAGGGCGAGTTGCTGTCCCCCTGGACAAGTTCAAGGCGTCAGGAGCTGTAGAGCCTTCCAAGGAGGGGCAGGTGAGCGGCAAGGGCAGAGACAGGAAGCCAGGAAAGTCTCGTGCTGAGGAGGAGGAACAAGAGCCTGCAAGGCAAAGTCTCCCTCCCCAGCAGAGCAACAGAGCTGATGTTGAGATTTCCAGTAAGCCGCAAACAAGGCATGAAGCGGCAGAAGAGCAAGAGACGCCTCCGCCCCCCCCAAACGTGCGCGAGCTACGTGGGCAAGTCAGTCTGAAGCACATCGCGCGCAAGGAGGAGGAGGAGGAGGAGGAGACTGAGGCTCCTCCTGCTGCTACGTCGGGGTCTCAATCTAGAAAGAAAGCGAAGCCGTACTTGAAGCGAAGGTCACAGACGGTCCTGACGAACAAGAAGGTAGACGTGAGTCACGTCAAGAGCAAGGTAGACGCCAAGTTCAAATCCCGCGCAACACCTCAGGCTCCTCGTACCTTCCCACGAGACGAGAAGCTCGATCCTCTCGTCGCCGCCTCCTCCCTGCTCCATCGCAGCGACACGAGCGGGGGCAGCAGCCATCGCTCTTACGGGGATGAAGAGGCGCAACACGTCCAGGAGCAGCCCAGCAGCCACGTCTTCGCAGCTTCAGCTGCCATCGCCGACCTGGAGTTCCTGCTGGAGCAGCTCCATGACTCGTCCTTGGGCTACCTGGACGTTGACGGGCGGCTCCTCCCCCACCCCCACGTCTTCCCGGAAGAGCCCAGCAGAATCCCTCGGCTTGTCAAAGACTCTGTGTTCTTCCGTGTGCTGAATGACAGGGAGCGCGCTGCTGAATGCCAGCTGGCAAAGTCGGCGTTGAGCTTGACAGGTCCAGACGCCCTCGCGTTTGATCGGATCGTGACAGACTGAAATGAGTTTGACAAGTCTGATAAGTAGTAGAAGAATGAAAGGTATGTTACGAGTTTACTTGGATTGCTGTACATGGGACCAAGGAAAGATGAATGGAAAGGGGGACGGAGGGAGCAACATCCAGAGGACGGGAAAGGCGAGCATGGAGAGCAAGGGGTTTGGGCAAGAAAACAGAGTGAAGAATAGCAGTTGAAGACATTCAGGTGGAAGGAGGAACGCATGGGGAGAGTAGCAGAGGAACATTGTGGGATGGGAGGGCTAGAGGAGAGGGAGAGCGCGATGCAGGAGAGAGAGGGGGGGAGAGAGAGAACATGAGAAGCTGATACAAGTGAGGGAGAGAGCATGGAGCAGGAGCATGGTAGAAGAGCAGCAGGAAGCGGCTTCCTCCTCCTACGTCCGCCTCAGAGCTGCCTGTAGCTCAACCAGCTCGTGCATCCTGTGTGCATGCTTGGCGCAGAGAGCGTCGAGTGCATCGCTGCTGAGCATTCAGCTGGGGTAGGGAGGAGCAAGTCCTTAACCTCCTCACTACTTGTCGCACAGGATCGTCTCCTCCGCATTCGAAGCATCCCAGCAGCGCTCCGTCCTCTCCCTGCCCGCTTGTCAACTAGCACTCGCCTCCTTCCCCTCTCCTGCTCCCCATGCTCCTCCCCTCGATCCTGCTCCGTCTTCCCCTCGCCATTCCACTGCTCCTCCTGCTCCCCTCTTTCCAATTTTCTGCTCCGCGTCATAATCGCACTTCACCTGGATGCAGGTGGAGCAGAAGCTGTGCCCGCATGGAATGCAGGTGACAGGCGCCTGCATCAGCCTTTGCGCCTTGGAGTCAGGAAGGGGAGGCAGCAACCAAGAAGAGCAAGAGCAAGGCGAGGAGCAGGAGGAAACGTGAAGAGCTCCGAGTAGGAGGGGAGGGAGGGGGAGGGGAAGAGCACGAACCTCAAGCAACCCATGCAAGTCAGCGAGCTTTCAAGCGCTTCTTCTCCGCTCAGCAGTTTGTTGACCGTCGACCTGGAGGACTGAGTGAGAGGGCAGAATGGATAGAGGAGAGGAGGAAGAAGAGGAGAGGAGTAGAGTTGGAGGGAGGACGACAGAAAGTTACCGGAAATTTCTTTCCTTTGTATCAAAATCAGCCTGACGCTTGGAGATCGCAAGTTCGAGCTTCTTGGTTAGCTGAGAATTGTCTCAGCTGACCCCCAGCACAACAAAGGAGTGGCACTTCATGCTCGCTCATGATCTTCAACTTGTCAATCTCGATCTTCTGCTGGACTTCTTTCCTTCTCAGCTCCTCTGATGTTACATCCAGCTGGGCCTACCGGAGTTGTCAAAGTCTGTCAAGCACGTATGAATGCCTCGACCTGCAGTCTCTGAGCTTCTTCCCGCAACTTTGCGGCCTCTTCCTGAAGGTCCCTCCGCATCTGAGCCAAGCTGCTGCTCAGCTAATGTGGTCTCGTACTCAAGGTCTTACCTTCGTCTCCTCCTGAAGTTTCTTCTCCTCCAGCTGCCGTTGGTCCATCATCTGACTTGTCATCTGGGTCTCCCTCTCCTGCTGGCCTTGTGAGATCGAGTTAATGAAGGTCAGGAGGGAGGAGGGAGGAGGAGGAAGAGAGGAGGTAGGGAGGAGGGAGGAGGTGGCAGTGAGGATGAGGAAGCAAGGTAGAGAGGCATAGGAGGAGCACAAGGAGGATCAAGAACGACCGCTAGAGATTGAGTGAGTTGACTGAGAGCAGCCTGAAAGTTGAAGAAGAGCGAGCGATGGGCGTCGGTGAGCTGAGACGCGAAGCTCTTGGTCGCTTCTTCTCTCTTCTCTGCCTCCCCGCAGGCTTTGACAAGCTGAGAAATTTGTCAGTTGATAAAGAATAAGGGGGGATGATAAGAGAATGAGGGGGATGATGAGAGAATGAGGGGGATGATGAGAGGGTTCACTTTGGCATGGGCTGATCGCATGGAACTCAGTTGACCATCAACGTCTTTGAGCTTTTTCATCGTCTCGTCCAGCCTCGATTGCAAATTCTTGCACTGTAATTTTGAAATCGAAGTCGATGAATTCAAACTGCTCTCACCTTCGAGCGCTCATCAGAGAGATCTCTTAAGGTTTTGTCTTCTTTCGTCTTGTTTGCGTCGCTTTCTTCTTTTCTCTGTAAGGGAGTATGAGATAAACGTCTTCTGCTCTTGCGTTGAAGTCACGACCAACACATTGAACATTAATACACGTGTCATCATTGATAAGTATCAACTCAACATGAGGCCGAGAGAATGTCACTTTCAGCATAGAACAGCAAATATCAACATCTTTTTTCGAATCTTCCAACCTTCCGCTCAATCTCCATCAGTTTCATCTGCAGGGAAGAATGCTTGTCCTGCAACATGCTCATGGTCAGAATGTCAAGGAGAGGGTTGGAGTAGGAGGTTGCGGAGTGAGGAGATTGTAGGATGGAACGAGTGTGGAGTGAGTGTAGAGGGGAGGAAGAGTGAGGGAGGCCGACAGAAGGATCGAGGGAGATACCTGCATCTCCTTCCAGTGCGACTTGACCTTTCCTAGCTCCGCGTCGGTCGCCTGACACGACCTTCATCAATATCTGGAAACCTCTGCTGCTGCTGGTGGTGGTGGTGGTGCTGCTGGTGCTTCTGCTTCTGCTTCTGCTGCTGCTGCTGCTGCTCCACCACCACCACCACCACCACCTCCTCCTCCTCCTCCTCCTCCTTCTCGTCATCTCCATGATTGCCGTCATACCTGTAGTTTGATTGTGATCTGCTGGATGGTTCTTTCTTTTTCCTTGATGTTTGTCTGGCGCCAGCACATTGTCATGATCACCGAACCTTCAACAACCCTCCTCTTCTTTCTTCCACTCTACTTCGTCCTCGCCCCCCCGCCCCACCCCTTCCCCCTCCCCCTCCCCCTCCTCCTCCTCCTCCTCCCTCTGCTCTACCTGCAACGTCTTGACTGTTTCCTTCGAGTTGAAGCTCACCAACACTCCAACCCCTTGCGCGACTTCTCCGCCAGCTGGAAGAGAGTTGGAAAGTTCCCTCCTCTCCCTGACTCCCGAAGAGTGTCACAGAGCAGCTCACAACTCTTCGGAAAGACCGGGTGGTAGAGGAGCTGGAGCTTGTGCTGGAGACAGTCGTGGAGGAGGTTGTTGTAGTTTCGGACAGGGTTGTCAATTTCTCTTCAAGTTGGGTCATCTTGAAACACTTGCTTGTCAAACAGTCAGTTCACGAGAGTGTTTGGTTTTCACCTCTTGTCGCATCTTTTCGTCTTCTCTCTCGAGTTCTTTGATGTGAGTATCGGATTGCAGGAGCTGCTGCTGTGCAATGTCGAGATCTTTTTCGAGATTTGCGATCCTCTGACAACAAAGTTCATCTTCATTGTCATCATCGACAACATCATCGCAATGATCAAAGATGGTCAAAGACTCCATCTCCATTAACAACTCGATTCCATCAAGATATGCATCATCACACTCGCATATCAAAAGAACAAACCTCTTGCAGCTGCTGCTTCTCCTGCATGAAGGTTGACATGAACTGTTGAAGTTCTTTGATCTGATATTTGAAACTTCAGAAGGATCGTTTCGTCTCAGGAACGAAATTTCTGATGGCGCGAACAACTCACAACTCACTTGTTCTTTGAGCTTCAGCGATGAAGCTCGTTCTTCCGTGACTTCCATTTTCAGTTTCTCTTGCTCCTGAATGTTTTCATGTTGCACCAGCTCTAGTTTCTGCAGTCTGTCTCAACATAGTTGTGAAAACACTTCGGTATCATACTTCACACTTAATCTTTAGGCCTGCCAACTCAGAGACAACTGAATCCTTTTCTTGCATTTGTTCTCTAAATTTCTCAGTCATCTGCAAAAATTTCTTTCAGATTTTCCTCCATTTCAATTCTCTGTTGTCACCTGACACATCTCCACCTCGATTTCTCGAGATTCCTTCAAATTCTCTTTGCAAATTTCAACCTGCTGATGCAGCAAAAACTCAACTTGGCGTTTCTGCAGCGGAAGTCATCATCATCTCATGGTCGACATCCCAGAATTTTCATCACCATGCTGAGTGTTTGATTGACAAGGTGCTTGAGATCCTTGACCTCATTCTCAGCTCTTCTGTTCGACGCATCCTGCTCGATGAAGTTGTGAGATATCCCTGAGATAACTCTCCCGACGGCCTCCAGCTGTTTGATATTCTCTCTCAGCTCTTCGGCCTTGTTCGCGCATTGCTGCAGTCTGATGTCCTTCTCCCAAACTCTGCCCTGAAGTTCTGCGACATGCGCTGAGTTCTCGTTCTCGTTCCTTTGAGAAGATTCTTGAAGCTGCTTCAGACTGAGTTCGTTCACCTGTCACATGTCAGACTGGCAGGTGATGTTGTTAGCCTTAGGTGAAGAAGCAGATGTGAAGTTGGTAGATGAAATGTGAAGTTGGTAGGTGACAAGAATTTGAAGTTGTAGATGAAATCTTGAATTGTTACGTGGAGTTGTGACGAAATCTCTTCAATTTGATTGTTCGACTCGGAAAGTTGTCCTCTCAGCCACGCTAGCTCGTCCATCGCCTGCCGGTAGCTGCTGCAGTGTAAGGAGTAGAGAAAAAATGAGGAGGAGGAGGAGGCGAAGGAGGAGGAGGAGGAGGGAGGAGGAGGAGGAGGAGGAGGAGGAGGAGGAGGAGGAGGAGGAGGAGGAGGAGGAGCGACGAGAGGAAAGGGACGGGAACGGGGACGGAAAGGACGGA